CGCGGGCGGGGCCGCCTGCCTCCCCAGGTCTGCGCGCTGGGTCCAGTCGCCTGGCTTCTACCCTCCCCTGTGCCTCCGCCCTCCTGCCTCGCACTTGAGAAGAAAGCTCCGTCTCCTAAGCTCAGGGTGGGGCCCCCCAGCCCCAGGTGTAGCCGCGGGGTGACGGGGGAAGGAGTGCGCATTTAGTTCCAGCCGTTTGCCAGGCAAGATGCCTATTTTGTCTTATTTAATAGTCAGATCAAATCTTCAAAGTTGGCTCTATTATTAATCCTTTTACGGATGAGGAAGGAGCCCTGGAGGGGTTCAAGGCCTCATCCAAGGTTACGAAGACAACAAATGGTAGCTAATGAGTTGTATCGAGGAACCTGTTTGTAAAGTCATCGCCTTGCCCACGAAATCCGGAGGAATGTGGCTAATGAGGACCGGAGAGTGTGCTGTTCGCCCCCGCGTCCCCTGTGCGTGTCTGCTTTCTGTTGAATTATGAACAATAGTGACGCGAAATAACAATTGGCATAAATAGCACAGGGCCGGACTCCCAGTCACTTTAGAGACAGGTATCCCGGGCTTTTCGGAAGCTGTCGTAATGCCACTTCGATTTGAAATCCGAAGAGGATTTTGACGTTTCTGAACAAAGGTGAAAAGCCAGAAGAGAGGTCGGCATTTGTGGGCAGCAAGCTGTCGGGGAGGCAGCAGGCCCTGGGCAGGGAGACAGCGCTGTACATGTATTATTTCTACTTTATGCAGGTTGCGTATTAATCGTATCACTCTTTTTATTATTTAGTGTTATTTTAGGATTTATGCTTCATTTGGTAGGATTTAGTAGGTTATTTGGGAGTCTGGGAATGATCAAAACTTTTCTCCATGTAAATTAATGGTAGTTACTTCGCTTTAGCCCATTTCAGCTTACAAAAGCTTTCACAGGAAAACTCTACTTTTGGATAGCCAGGGTCGGGGTGTGGACCCTGCACATTAACTCATTTAATGCTCACAATTAATTTTTAAAGCCCTGTAAGAATCTCGGTTTTACAGAAGAGAAAACTGAGTTACAAGGGACCTGAGTACTTCTCCCGAAGTCATACACCCAGTGCTCAGCAGAGGTGGGGCGTGAACCACAGCAGCTTCTAAGTCTTATGCAAATTGAATGAGCAGAAGGAAGCCCAGAAGGCAAGAAGAGAAAGGGTTAGAAATAAAGGAAATCTGGAGGTTGAAGCTACTGAGTTGTGACTCCCAGGATAGGACAAAGGAACTTCTTTGGGCCATCAACCTCTTTCTACCCAGAGTGGACTGCAGGAGCCAAAGGAAATGTGTGGTTTGTGGATCATCTCCAAATATTCAGCATCTCCTCTGGGGTGATTCTAGGGTTATTGATTGCTTTCATCCAAGTGGAGCAAAGGAAGGATTATAATATTTATAACATTTTGCTGTTTGTGAGTGGCTCATATAAATTCTGTGGTTGCTTGTTTTCAAGTGATACATCAGTCTCCTTTAATGATGATTTTGTTGGTTTCCTTTTATATTAATAGAATACATAGTCTCACAGTTCTAGGGACTCCACAATCCAGCC